CTGCTCTTACAGAAGACGAGTGTGGCATTTGCCTTTTTCCAGTTGTCAGGAACGTCTCCTAATCACCGTGACCTTTCAAAAACTGAGAGAGTGGCCTCAGAATGATGTTGCAATCTTATTACTACCACTAGACTGCAGGTTTAAAATGCAGGGGTGCTGTCTTCTCATCTTGATAGAGTGAAAGTGCTAATAGCATATACAGGGTGGTATCCTGACCCTCTTAGCTGCGTGCTCTGCCTTAACTTCTATGTCTCCCCCTGCAACTTCGGGAGTTGTTGCAGCCTGGGTTGGAAAAACTCCATTGCCCTGCCTCTCATTCCAGAGCTTTGGGTAACTTCAGGGTTCCCAGTACTGCGGTGATAAAAGTCTATGTAAATAAGCAGAAATATTCATTACTGTTGGTGTTTGCTTTCTTCTGAGGGGATTATGTTAGGCTAGTTTGTTTTGTTTTGTAGACAAACCTAACAGACTTCAGCCTCTCTTCTTGTAAATGTTTTTCCTCTCTGAAGTACAGCTTTCCTCCACGTAAAGGAGAAAGAGACTCTGAACTAAGCGAAGCGCTTAGGCTAGTTTTTGTAGGAGGGTTTTTGCATCTCAGGAGTAGGAACTGGTAGACGTAGAGCTTGTCTTTTGTACTTTACTTCGAAGCAAGAAAAGAGAACCTGAGGGTGTTATTCCTGAATCTACCATGGAGGAATTATTAACATGAAAAATACTAGCAAAATTCTTAAGGATAGTCTCACTGTTTTTAAAGCATTATGATATCCCTTATTTCTTACGCTTTTCCCACACGTTGTGTTTTTTGCATATTTCTCAGGTCTGACCAAATGGCGGTGTTCTGGGTGAAATCTAAAGTTTTGTGTTGCTGTTTAGCATCTTTTAACACAGCGGATTTCAGCAAAAGCAGCATTCGTTTACAAACTCTACCAGAATCAGAGACCTCTTGTGGAGTTTTTTAGACATTACATCGTTTAGTGTTGCTGCTTTTAAAAAAAATTTCTGGTGGCGTTTTTAGAGGTTTTTTCCAGCAGAGGGAGACATCTGACCGTGAAATTCAAATATAACTGGTATTCTTGTAGCTTGTTTTATCAATATACATATAAAACTCAATGTTCAAATTAACTAGTTCAATAAGTAATTTAGCTCATTGATTTTTGGGCATATCCTAAGTGCCATTACAAGCTACGGATATTTTAAATGCCATTACCTAATAGAAGGAATGTTTTAAGCACCTTTTATTGATTTTATTACTGCTTTATTTTGCTGTCTTGGTTTAAAATCATTTTAACCACTCTGTAATCAAGAAGAAATATATCGTTGGTGAAATACAGTCAATTTCCTAAAAACCTTTGACATCGTTAAATAAGGAATTACAGTTGTTAAATCATGTCAGGCAATAACTGAGGGACAGAAAAGATATAAAATTTGGAGCAGTGAGCCAGCATACCAGTAAGCTGTTTTGACCTTTGACATTCAGACTCCATATGTGACAATCGCACTTCAATTCTGTTCTTGGTTCTTACATCAGTCAGAAGAGATTTAAAATCTCAGCATGCCAGGAAGGTTGTTGAAGGATAACGGAGTATGATCTAGAGACAATTAAGGGGCATTTTAATGACCTGCTGTGACTCTTTGTTAAAATTACTCTCTAACTTAGCACATTTGAAGTTTCATTTGCTGGATTGTATTGCTAGTAGTTCAGTGTATTGATGTTATACACAAAAGGAGTAAATTGAGTCTGCTCATAGGGATTTCAGTTACTTCCCTTCCCAGCTCTTTTGACTTGAGAAGATTATCAGTATTACTGAGCTAATCAGCTGGTAGATGTAGACTGGGAATACAGGCAATATGTTGCTTAATCAAAGAATTGAAAAGTAAGTAATGAATGTTGGTGCTCAATAAAAAACAGCTAATGAGTTGATTGCATTGATGCTTGATGTAATTTAACTGTAGAGTGGCAAACATCAATACTTATATATGATTTGGCTCATGATTGCTGAGCTGAAACTCAAAGTTTAGAGAGGTTCTGCAGTATGTGAGCACCTGGCAACTGACCTGAAGTGGGGAGGGAAGGAGCTGCGTTTTGTTCTTTAAATGGAACAAGTGATTCCATCATTAATTGTTGGACTTTTGTTTAAAAAAAAAACAAAACCAAAAAGCCCCACAAAACCCAAAACTTACACATAACTGTTTTCAGAGGTTTAAGAATAATTTCTGGATTGAAAAATAAGAATAAATCATCATAAAGTAGTTTAAAAATCAAATTCACAACTATAAATGTTAAACCAACCTCTAGTCTTCCTTTAATAATGACCTTGATAACCTCCAGGGGGAAGTCAGCAGCAAAGAAACATGCTGTCTGTGGAGAGGGACATCTGCTGTGTTTGAGCTAGCTATCCCATTCATGTAGTATCAGTTATGACTGCATTTTAAAAGAAAGTTCGTTTGCAGAAAGTGAACACTGTCTTGAATGGTGCCACCTGTAACTTCATTCTGAATTCACTTTTTGCCGTTATTCTCTTCCTTTTGATTTGTTAGGTGTTATAAACTCTCCTCAAGTGCAAGGTTATACTTACTGGTGGCACAGAAGGACATCTTTGTAGGCTTTTCTAAACCAAGATCTGCCACCGTCAGCTGCTGCAAAGCAGCAGGAAGAAAACTGTTGGTACCCAGATTCTGCGTAGTTTCTTTTGTCATGTTCTGACCTCTTGTCCAGCCCTGGGGATCACGCTTCTACTTCAGGAATGTTGGACCTTCCATCAGGAATTAGTATTTGTCTTTAAACTGTGACATAATTAGATGTTTTAGAAACTTGTTTTTTATTTCTGTGAAATGTCCAGTATCATGTTTGGGCCTAGATCCGTATTAGATTGGTGACGTGTTCTCTGGGCAGCCATCAAGCATGGCTTTATGGAGTCTCTGCTTGCCAGCTGTTTTCTAATTTAACTAATGCTGCCCTACAAAACCACAGCAACACAGCTGAGGGACGCTTAGTGGCCTTATCTCTTGCTTTCTCCTTTCAATCTGTCAATATTGAGGTTGGGGGCAGTGATGGAAATTTGTAATAGGGGAAAAAACAAATGCAGGTCATTCTGTTGGCAGAATCACAGAAGAGTGATCATCTACAGACTAGGGAACGCATACATTTACTGAATACATTCAGCTTGTATTTCTAGGTGTTCTTTCCAATGATGAGAGTTAGAAATGTAACAGTGCTTTAGAAAATACCAGCATGCCACAGTAACAACCTCAGTTCATCAAGGCCATGAACTGAGCCTTGGATGGCTGTGCAGTAGGCTACACCCTCCAGACTTTCAGCCTGCTTTGTGTATAAGCTCTTGATGTATATTCTTCCATCTTGTCTGAGGAGCTGCTGTTTGCAGATCACTAGCCTCTCCTTGGGAAGAAAGGTTTGATTATCCATGTCACAGAGTCTC